CCCTCAAGGTAAAATCCCCCCAAAAAAAAAAAAAAAAAAAAAGAATTGTTTATTTAATTTTATTTATCATTTTTAAATTTGCTACAGGGCACATGCACTCACTAGACTGAGATTTGGGGGGTGAACTGGGGGGAGCAGTGAGGAGTGAGAAAGCAAGCTGCCAGGTTTAGGACTGGAAATGCAGTTAGGCAGGTGGGAATCCAGTGCTTTAATCACCATACCGCCTGCTAGCCCTGTCACTTGGCTTTTTACCTATTTAGTAATATTTATAATTTATTAATCCTCACAACACCCCTCTGAACACAGCAGTTTTGCCTCCATTTTAATGGTTCAATGATTAATGCTCAAAGAAATTGGTTAACTTGCCCACAGTCACACAGAAAGTAAATGTAAAACCTAGGAATCAAACTTGTGGCTTCTGTGTCTCGTGCTCCCACTCTTTCACAGACCTCGTCCCCGTTGCTCTCGATTTATGTAAAAAATGTGTCTCTAGATCTCAAATGCATTATGCTACATTTTAAAACCCAACATAGAGAACATACACATAGTTTGTCTCTATGTATGTAAATAGAGAGCAGGCAAAAGTAGAGTGACAGCTGCAAATCAGTGCTGGCAGGGGAGCGGTCAGAGAAGATCAGCTAGTGGGGGGCGGAGGGCTGTTTGGCAGTGATGGGAACGTTCCAACATGATTATGCTGGCGGTTACATGATGGAATTTATTTACTAAATGCATTGAACTATACACATAATATGGGTAAATGTGATTACATATAAATTATACTTCAAAAAAAATTGATGAGAGAGATTAAGCAATCTCTTGTATGGCTGAAACTAAGGATGGCCGAGGATATGCGGGAAGTGTAGGTTTGCAGCTCTCACACAGCCCATATTCCCGTCTGTATGCCTGGACTGAAGACATTGACCTTGTGTGTTTCTGTGACCTTCGGGTGAGCTGGAGTTCTTGGTAAGAAACCGGAGAGGTCTCCTCTCTAACAACATGATTCTCCTTTGAAGTCTCACTTGCTTCTACCTAGTCTTACCACCTGGTTATATTGTTCCATGTTTTTCTTCCTCACCTATTTATTTATTTATGCGTCTATGATTTTTGAATAATCAAAACTATAGCTCCTCTAGGAGACAAAGGAGCAATCCCTGTAGTAACGGCAATGTCTCCAAAACAAAAGTGGAACCTTGGGTAGTGGAGTTGCTGTGGTCTCTTGCATAGCGCTTTGCAGGCCTAAGAGAAGAGTCCTTACCCAGTTCACTAAATGAGAGAGCCAGCGACTGATGGGGTTTCTGCAGATTTAGTGCAGGGAATGACAATGAAAACCAGGGTTCTGTAAGGTAAACCTGGCAAAGTTTTATAGGACAGATCAGAGGAGGGAGACATTGTGGGAGGCAAGATCAATTAGGAAGGCTTCACAATGGCGGACGGAAGGGCAAAGGAGCCTGAACAGAGCGGGGCAGTGGGCGCTGGATGGCAAGGGTGAAATGAGAGGAGGCGGCCGAGCGCTGCGGAGGAGGGAGCAACCAGACACTGTTCTCCCTCCACCCACCACCCTCTGGCCCAGGCCCAGAAGCGCCAAGGGGAGATATAACAGTGCAGCCAGACAAATGAAGGTGTGGGTGGCGCTGGAGCAACCTCCCGAGAAACTGAGATGGATATTTCCCACCTGTAATTTCCGGTTCTTTTCCATCCTACTCACAGTATTTAAGTATTTGTTCTTGTTTTTGTTTTTTACAACCTTCTGTATTTCTGGAACAGCTAGGAGAGCATTGACCATTAAACGCCTTGCAAATTCTTCTTTGTTAAATTAGGTTCTAATGTAACAGGCTACCCTCAATAGGAATATCATTACCCTGTCGCTCTCTCCCAGCCATTCCATGGCTCCCTGTAATTTTCTGTTTATGGTACGTGTAACTTTCCATGGCCTATACAATTGCCAACAACATTTTTTCCTTTCTCAGTATCATTTTTCTGGTGAGCCATATTCTGTAGCAGGTTTATAAAGTTTAATTTCCACTGTAAGTCAGGTGGGAGGGGAAATAGAAGTTTTTATAGTTCTGTACTTCATCAGGCTCTTAGTCCCATCCCCACTAGTTAGTACAAAAACAAATGAACTAAATTTAGAATGTAATCTCACCCACAAGTGCCCATTTAATCTGATGAAACAGTCTCCCCCAAAATGACATTTAGCCCAAGGTAGTCCTACATCTCAGCATTTCTCTCTGGGATGGCAGACAGCCTGTTGAGATAGGTGGGCAAGCAGGCTTTGAGTCCTGGAAAACGCTCTCCAGAGTCTTCCTGGCGAGTACTCTGCGTCCTTGGGTTTCCATGGCAACCCTGGGCCCGGGTGTTGTTGGCTGGCGGCTCCCGCACAGCCTCACTCTGTACCTGGGACACAGGCTGCGGCCTCTCGGCACTGTCCTGCTTAACCAGGTCTCATCCCTGCGCTCACTGGCGGCAGCTTCTGCATCATGTCCCCAACCTCCTCGGGGTCCCTGGGCCTGTGGTCCACTAACGGCCGCTCCGGATGCAAAGTCGCCAGGCAGGCCCACTGCTCAGCAGAGGAAGCCGTCATGCAAGAGCGCCCCCTTCTAACCTGTGACTACATTGCGGGGGTCATGTGTGAGGTCCGTGCGCGATGAGGGCCCTAGCGGCAGTCTCTGTCCTGCTGGGGTAGCCGGGAGAAATGTCGCCTGCCTTCCCGGCCTGCCACAGTTACCTCGCTGGCTGATCTCTTTTGGAGTTAACAGAGCCAGACCACCGGGTCCAGCCCTGCTTCTTGCTAAATGACCTCAGAAGTTATCTACTGGCTTTGTCTGAGTTTCCTTAAGAGTAGAAAGGGGATAAAATACCAATTTACCGTGGGACCAGCAGGTGGTGTGACAATTAAGGTGCTGGGTCCCACAAGGCCAACCTCATGATTCCAGTCTCAGGCCCTGGCTTGAAAAACACAACAGGAGGTGCCAACCCAAAACCCCTAGAGGAGAATGGAGGAGAAGGGGCTACTGCGTGGCCACCCCCGCCCCCCAGGAGGGGCTTTCTCCCTCCCACTCTGTCTCTCTCCACCAAGCGTGGGCATTCTGTATAGCAAGTAATAATAATGTTAATTTGCCATGTAGTGTCTTTCTGAGGACTGGATGAACCGATACTAAGTATTTATGTGCACTTGGCTACGTACAAGTTCCAACAGAGCCCAACAGAGAAAATGTTCAGTAAGTTAACTCTCTCTTTTCCTTCTCCCAAATGTCTTGGGATATTCCCTTCTTTATTGATACCCTCTCCCTGCTCCAGCCGATCCTTAAAGATCGGCTGCTCTACCTTCTCTGTAGCACAGAAGAGCTCCCTAAACTGAACCCCCTGTTCCTGGCTGGGGGCTGCTACAGGAGACAGAGGAACCTGGAAAGTTGCTCAGGGCAGAGTTCTTGCACGCTGACCCTGAGGCAGGATCTCACCACATAGCCCAGGGGGAGCTTTTCCTGATCTGTGCTTGGTAATTCTTCCCTAGCAAGACAATCTCTGTCCACCTACCCACGCCCACCCTCCGTGTGGTGGGGTGTCTAAAGCAAACATGGTCAGAGGTGTTTGGAAAGCAAGAAGAGATTAGCACACAGACATTTTAAATGTTACTCCCTTTCATTTATAATCCAATTGGGCTCTATTTTGTTGTTGTTCATTAAAGGGTGCAAGTCCTCACCAGAGAGAGGCAGAGAGAAATTACCCTCCATGGGAGATGGCTACACTGCAATCCCTTCTCCTCCAGTCTCTTCTCAGGATTCTGGGCATGCACGCACACGCTTCCAGCATGATTTTCAAGCTTCTGGGTTCATTTGCCATGTGGGATCCAGCGCCTCAACTTCCCCACCAGCTGCTGGCCTTAGACTTTCTGAGAGCCGACCAAAATCTTCAGAATTATACTCAACTTTCTCTGTCTCACTCAACTTAGCATTGGACTTCCAGTCAAAATTTAGAAAACTGCAGCTTTATCTATTGCCCATCATACATACCCAAATAGGCTTATGTTAGAAAATATCTCCCGTTTTCCCCCAAGACATTGTCTCTGTATCATTAAATGTTTCACTAAAAGTGATCAATTCCGGATAATTATCAAAGAATAACAAGGATCCCAGCAGATACCAGGTGGCGTGACCATTAACTGTTGTGAAAGTGATGGGACAAACGGCTTATGATATTAAACTAAAGGAGGGACAGCACGAAATCTCCAAATACTTACCGTAACTTCAAACTCCAGAGTACACTGCAGCGGGTGGCAGACACCACCACACATTGGCCACCGCTGTTCACTCCTACCGCCACTGAAACGGAATGCCATTCACTGAGTTGACCCGCACTCGTGAACGCTAAACGTTAAATTATTACAGAGTGTGCATTATTGAAGGAAAGTGCTCCCAGCATCTCTTCGAGAAGAGACCAGCCACGAATGCTGCTGGCCTACCTAGGCGCCACTTACCCATCCGTGAACTCGCAGGGTGCAGTAAGCACCAGGACAGCCCCGGCCGGCCTCCGCCCACAGGCTCGTGTTCCACTCCCTCGGAGTCCACAGGCCCAATCAGAGAAACCTGACATGACAGTGACAGTAATTGTCACTAAGGAATCAATTTGGATTTATTTATTCAACACGCTACACAGAAACAAGGAGTGATGGGGTGGGGAAAGGTAGGAATCCAGGAACACCTCAAATTCAATTGGAAAACAGGATTTAAACAGAGATGGCATTCAGACTGGGGGGAAAAAATATCCTAAGCGGGATATTTATCAGTCATAAATTTCGGAGTAATGTCAAACATGGGCGTTGGAACCACAGAAACCTGGACTTTGATTCTGGCATCTCTGCTAACTAGACCCATGGCTTTAAGCAGATTACATAAACGTGGTGAGCTGCGGCTTCCTCTTCTATCAAAGGAAAATGCCCACCTCCCTGGAGAATGAAATGAAATAAATGTAGGTGCCAGAGTGTGGGCCAAGCTCATTACCCCAGCTTGGGGGGCAGTTCTCAGCACCCTGCTGGATACCCGGGGGCCTGTTTTATCCTGCCGACCCTGTGGTGATTGGCCCTGTAGCATACCTCTGAGGGGACAAAGAAGACTAGCTGCCCTGCTCAGGGGCTTGTCCCTCTTTTGAGGTGGTACCTGTAAAGGACTCCTTCTAGGGAAGTGCAATTTTAAACCATGATGAGATACCACTTCATACTCGCCAGATTGCTAAAGCCTTAAAAACAAAACAACAATAATAAAAGTCTAACACTATCAAGTGATATAAAGAATGCAAAGTAACTAGAATTCTCATGTTACTCGTGGGAGTACAAAATGGTATTGTTTTTGAAAAACGGTTTGGCAGTCTCTTATGGAATTTAACTGAGAGTTAACTGCATGAAGCAGAAATTCTGCATGTGAGTATTTACCCGCGTTAAATACGTGTCAACAGAGGACATCTCGGCTACGGTTCATAGCATCTTTGCTCACAATAACCCCAAAGTGAGAAGGAACCAAGCGTCCATTATTGGGAGAGGGAATCAAAACACGATGGTGGGCCCGAAACTCTACCATGACCCAGCAATAAAAAGACACTTGGTCTGGACACGTGTGAGCCTGTGGATGACTCTAGAGAGCGGTATGGCGAGCAGCGGAAGCCAGACACCCAAAGCTGTAACAAACGGACTATACGATTCTATTTACGGGGCATTCAGAATAATGCAAAATCACGCGGCAGAAATCGGGTAGGTAGCTGCCAGGCCTGAGGGACTGCAGAAGGAAGTGCCTGCAGTGGGCCAAAGGGATGAAATGTTCTGTGGTTACACGGACCTGCTCGTTCTTCAAAGTGCACCAAACTGTATTAAAATCACACAGTTTAGCTGTGTGGAACGTAGTCCTCCAGACACCCGACTCACCTCACATTGAATAGTCATTGCATTCTCCTGGAAGTGTCGCCTCAGGCCAAGTAGCGCTCTTCAGCTGAGGACAGTCCCCTCTAACACTCCCAGCAGCCAAGTAGGTGACACCGCAGGTCTGGTTAGAGGGCGTGGTGGTCCATGCGCAGGGCTCCTACCACATGTGACCCTGACCCATGCTTTACCACCAGGAGGCTAGCAAAGCGTGTGGAAGCTCTCAGTGTGGAAAATGTACAATGTTCTCTCAACAGAAGGAACTCAAGGAGGACCTCAATAATTGAGAAAATCACCAGGGACACCAGCAAAAGGCTCCATGTCACAGAGATGTCCCATCTCTCCGATTCGATCTTTAGATTTAATAGGATCCTAATAAAAATTCTAATGTTATGTACGTGCATATGTGTAGAACTAAAATATATATGGCAATGGAGAAAGGTGAAGGACTACCTGTGCCTTTAGAAGACATTCATAAAGAAAGGGGAATGAGTGGGAGAGACTGCTCCATCGAATAGCAGGGTCTGATTATAAAGGTACAGTCATTAAAATATTAAGGTACTGACAAAAGAATGGGCAAAAACAGCTCAGAAGAATATAATAGAAATTCTAAAACAAATTAGTGCATATATGGACAAGGAATTAGGCACTGCAGAGCAGTGAGGAAAGAACACGTTTTTCCAAAAAGGGTGCTGGGAGAATTAAATATCTGTACAGACAAAAGGAAACTCGATCTTTACATCATGCCGAACACAAAAAGTCAATGTCAGGTAGATTATATAGCTAAATGTGAAAGACAAAAGAATAAAACTCTGGAAGTTAATTAAGGGAGACTAACTTCATGTCCTTATTACAGGGAATGATTTCTTAAACAGGACACAAATCTCGGAGAGCGACACAGAAAATAGGGATAAACCTGACTATGATGGAGATCTTTGTCAAGTCATCATTCACAAAGTGAAAAGGAAATTACAGGGTGGGAGAAAGAATTTGCAATACATAGAGGTAAAAGAGAGTACATATTTATTCATTTATTTTGGAGAGATTTTTGCTATGGGGCGTGTGCGTTCCCCAGAAAGACAGAGACAGAGAGACAGAAAGCGAGAAGTCACCCCCCAGGGGTGATGGCCACACTGCAAGCCCTTCTCCTCCATTCTCCTCTCAGAGTCGGGCACACATGCACACATCCCGGCCTGAGTATAAGCCACCAGGTCTGGGACTCGAACCATAGTCGACTACATGGGAGTCCAGCAACATAGCCATTATGCCAACTGCTGGTCCCTTAAAATTTTTTAGTTATAAATTTCTTTTAAAATATAGTAGAAAAAAATGTTCTTGAGATGTAAACAATTTAAAAAAGGTTTTCCCATTAGCTAATAAACAGTTTACTAATAATGATAGAAATACAAATTAAAATCACAAAGAGCTATCTCCACATGCCCAATAAAGTAGTAAAAAAAAAAAAAGTGACAACCAGATCAAGTATTATAAAAGCTATGGAGCAAAAAGGACCGTGCGCTGGTCGGAGTGAAGCAGATGGTCGTCAGCGACTTAGCCTGAAGCAGCTCCTACCCTCGTCCCTGCAAGTCCAGTGCTAGACACATGCCAGCAGAAATGCACACACATGGCACCAAGACCCTCGTACAAGCACGTTGGTAGCAGCATTGTTCATAATACCCCCAGACTGCAAATAAGCCAATGGTTCCCCACCAGTACGATAGACAAGTGCACCCCTACTTACTAAAGGATGTTTGCATTGACTTCATTTTTGGGGGTGGAAGGAGGCTCTTCTAGACAGGATTTCATAGGCCCTTCATGAATTACACACATGATTTTTTTTTTTTAATGAATCATTCTACTCCTCTCACTGAGTCCTCACTGGCTCACAGATTCTCTCTCCAGCGCAACTCAGTCATCGTTTTTGAGATCCCGACATCAATGTGTATGCCCCGCCTTGCTCTCAAGCCCTCCACCCTCCTCTTCTGCCATGGCCGTTCTCTCCTGCGGGCCTCCCTCAGGGTCTCTGTACACCTTGTGCTGTTACTAAGCATCACACTCGAGGACCATCACGTCCACCGTTCCCCTAGTGCGACTCCAACACTTCTGATTTCACTGAGATCTAACATTCGTGAATCAAACACAGAACAATTTTTGATTAGCGGGGACATGCACTCGCTGGAGAGAACAGAGGGACAGTGGAAAGCACCCCATGGGGAACGGTCACCAGTAATCCCTTCTCTTCTATGGCTCCCACTCTTCAGGGTTTTAAGCACACACACATGCCCAGTCTCTCAAACTGCTCGGTCTGGGACTCGAACTGCAGTCAGCCATGTGGAATCTAGCTGCCTTCACCAACGGGCCATGGACTGGCCTGAATCAAATACATTTTATACCACCCCCAGCTTTCAGGTCCTCACTCCTCTGTGTGCCTTTCTTAAATCCCATAACCCACACGAAGCCCTTCTTTGTTGAGACCCACTTCTCTCTCATGCCTCTCTCACTTCACCAAACTCTTCTGGCAAAGACCCAAAGCTGACAACAATCGTACTTCCAGCTATGCTGCACCTGTCCCCCAGGCACTAATGGAGGCTGGAAACAAAGCTATGTGGCTTGCCTCACTTTGCACTTTCTCATAGAAATGGTAAAACACAGGACAGGTTCGAAGCATCCAGCTAGTAGGTAGCTCTTCATGTAGACCAGGTATGCTCCTGTATTTCTCTAGCTGGTTCACATTCTTCAGCTGCTGTTTCTCAGAGAAAGTCAGAGAAGAATGCAACCACATCCACCACCCGTCTCTCTGCAGGCTGTTCTGCCCCCACTGTCTGCCTTCCCACCAATCAGTGCTTCAGATGGGCCCGCCTGTTCCCGTCTGAAGGCAATCCCCCGGGTGCTAGATCCCATTGCCTGTCGCCTACACAAACACATCAGCTCAGCAATTCCTCCCATCTCTCTTCCGTTAATTTCCAACTTTCCACTGTGACACCCCCATCAGTGCACAAACAAAAACTGCTCTCATTTCTACCGTCTAAAACGACATGGAAATTTACAAAGCCCTCTCCTTGGCCTCACATCTTCTCTCAGTTATCCCCACGTAGTCACTCTTTTCTCCTACAGTTTCTTTAAAATTTTCCTGTACTCGGGACCAGCAGTTGGCGTAATGGCTATGTCACTGGACTCCCATGTAGTCGACCGTGGTTCAAGTCCCAGACCTGGTGGCTTAAACTCATACCAGGCATGTGTGCATGTGTGCCCAAGAGCCCAAGAGGAGAATAGAGGAGAAGGGATTGCGGCATGGCCATCCCCCCCGGGGGGGGTGATTTCTCGCTTTCTGTCTCTCTGTCTCTCTCTGTCTTTCTAGCGAGCACACACGCCATATAGCAAAAATAAATAAATAAATTAATTAATTAAATTAAAAATCTTAGTAAATAAATAAATAAAATAAAAAATTTTCCTGTACTCGTTACCACCAACCTATTCCCATTTTTTCTTGAGCTCCCTGTAATACAATAAGGCTTTCACTCTCCTCCACCACTCCACTCAGTACTCTGGAGAACTCCAGTGAACTGCTCTGACCAGACCCCTGGTCAGGTCTTCGCGCAGTCGGCTATGCTCCGTTGGAAAACGTCACTGTTTGAGTTCTGGAATAACACGCTCTCCTGATTTTCCTCCAGCTTCGCTTGCCATTTCTCATCTTCTCTGCTGACTCATGCATACACCTCAAATCCAAATGCTAGAGTCCTTTAGGATTCAATCTTTTTTTTCTTTTTGCCAAACAGTGCATATACTCTCCAGAGAAAGAAAGAGAGGAGCTGGTAGAGAAATCTCCCCACAGAGGGTAATGATCACGATGGCTTCTAGCCCCCACGCCAAGTGCACTTGCTTCTCCCTCTGCCTAGAAACCTTTCCCATCAGAAATTGCTATGTTTAACTACTTCACTTATCTCGGGTATTCACTTGGTTGTCTGAAAGGGAATGCCAGGATCACTGCATTTCATATTTTAGACTTTTTTCTTCCC